AGTAGAACATGCAGATATTAAACTAAAGGGGTAATATTACATTAAAAGGCCTTTCGCCTCTGGAAGTTACACCACAGGTGGCACAAAGACTGCGAAGAACAGCTTACTCAACCGCGCAGCTAACACACAAACCCCTAAAGGATACGAGGAATTATGCGACCGAACAACCATAGGGAAAGTTCCAGAATTAGCTGTAATACGCACGGTCTTTTCGGCCGCAAGACTTTGATTGTACGAAGCAAGAACCGATTTCAAAGCTTTCTCTCCTCGTAATGTATTAATAAAAGCAAAGTCATCAGCATATGTGGATAAACCTCTGAGCTTACACGCCCTTAATGCCTCGAAACCTTCGGCCCGGGGATGAATGACGAGGCCGGATGGCACCGAGGTTGCCCTGAGAGCCCATCACGGGACTCCAAAAAGTCTCCATCAACAGACGCCAAAACATAGAGGGATATCTAGTTAATCTAGTGGACATGGTTGCTCTAGTGTAGAAGAACATCCATTATAGAGTCAATAGAGGACAATGACAAGGCTCAAGCCTCCCCGAAGCACGTCAGGTGGAGCTGCAATCTTCTGAGCGCGCCTCTGACTATCCCACAAAGCACAGTGTTTGTGCTTGAAGGGTCATGGGTAGCTATATGTAGGGTTATAAGCACCTTAAATAACATATGGGGGTTTCCGAAGTTAAGGGTGCCTTATTGGGTCCTTTCTTCTAAGGAAATCCTACTATGTGGGGCCTGTATAGGTCCTCTATGTTCGTAAACCCCTCGATAATTTCAGCGCCACGCGACCCGCCTGGGCCTGGGCCTGCCCAGGGACGATGCGACCCAAACCGGAGGCTCACGTCTAGACCAGGCACTCCAAACAAGAAGTGGAGTTGCAAGGCCTGGGTTGAAGGGCGGGTTGGGGAATGCGGGGGGGTCTGAAAATGGCCCCTGGTCCTGATGCATACCCATTCCAGGCAAACTAGTGAGCCTGGCGCGGTGAGTGACCCTTCCAGTCAACAAGGCCCCTCAGCCCTACACCCCCCAGCCCTGAACCCTAGACCCTAAACCCTCCAGAAACCCTGCAAGCTCCAAGTGTTCGCGGACCCAGGCTGTTCTTTGCTTTGGCAAAGCTCACGCGAGCTCCGGCTCCTGGGCTGGATTGGCTGTCAACCCACAATACGGCAGGGGCAACTCCGAAGCAGTGTTAATGTAGCTACCAACAATAGACAACCCCAAGTAAGTCTGCCCTAGATCACACCCCGAAGTCCTAAGACCTAACCTCCAGATTTCTCAGACATTATCTTTGTGCATAATCATGCCCTTACAATCCTTGTGTCATTCTCAAGTGAAGTACCCTGGGTTTTCGCGCTTGCAGGGTTTTGGGGTTCAGGGGGGGTTATCTTCAAGGACCTGCTTTAGGATGGTCCTTGGAGCCTCAGGGTAAGGTGAACAAGAGCAAGGAGCGCGACCGTGAGGTCAGACCCTACACTCCTGATAATCCTACGATACGAGCCCACCAACGTGCTCTTTCCAAAGGAGCCCTTAGGCCCTAAACCCCAAATCCTAAACCCTAAACCCTTAAGCCCTAAACCCTAAACCCTAAACCCTAAACCCTAAACCCTAAACCCTAAACCCTAAACCCTAAACCCTAAACCCTAAACCCTAAACCCCGAACCCCACATCCTAAACCTAAGGCCGCCAGAAGGTTGAAGAGTAGCCCCGGGTTAAGGGACCACTTCCAAACTTCCTGGATTGTTTTGCTTGTTTGGAGGCTCGCCCTCGGGCTTGGGGCTTGGGGTTTGGGCTTTAGGGTCTACATCCCCCAGGTCGAAAAGAATCCCCCTTTGTGCTCACAGAGTGCATAGCCATGAGCCCCAAACCCTGCAAACCCCAGACAAGCCCCTGAACCCCTAAACCTGTAACCCCACGCCCTCAACCCCCAAACCATTAAACCCCTCAACCCCCCTAAAAAGCTCACCATATACCAACCGCAACAGAACTCTGCCCCTCCTCCTCCTGACCCCCCACCCCCCTCCCCCTTCCTCCTCCTCCCCCCTCCTCCCCCTCTCCTCCCCCCCTTCTCCCCCCTCCTCCTCGCCCCCTCCTCCCCCCTCCTCGCCCCTGGTCCCGAGGTCTCGGAGCCTTTTCGGATCCATGGCTTGGTGAACCACAGCTGCCAGCCCAACGTCCAGACGCTTGGCCCAGAAGCAATGATTAGGGTTTAGGGTTTAGGGTTGAGGGGTTGAGGGTTGAGGGTTGAGGATTTTAGGGTTGAGGATGATTGAAGGTTCATTGGTTCATTAGTCGTTTGAGGCAAGGCCCGCAAGTGCGGAATCCCCGCCAACACAACCCTGAAGGCTCAGAACCCGAAGCATGAGTAATAGCAGCAGCTAAGAGTTGGCTTGGGTCGATCCGCAAGCTATGCACCATGGGGGCCTTCTAGGCTCCCCCCCCCCGCTTCCAAGACCCAAACCCCCCAAACATCCCTAAAACCCGCAAACCCCCCAAAACCCCCAAAACCCTCACAACCCCCACCCGAACCCCGAGCTAAAGATCCCCAAAGATCCCAAAGACCCGAACCCTCGAGTTCAGGGGGCTTTCGCGTTCAAAGAGTGCCGAGGCGGACGTTTCTACCCGCAGATGATGCAGAGAAGGCCGATGGAGATCGCGAACCCTAAGCCCTAAACCCTCCATCCACCTTGGGGCCTCTCTCTCTCTCTCGAGAACTTTTGTGGGCGGCTGTGGAAGTTGTGGGAGTGGAGTATTTCCAGGTCTTCTGACGTTTGAGAGTTCGGACAATGTTGTGTGTGTTGCCGGCCCATGCCTTTCGGAAGGGTTGAAGGGTTTAAATATGTCTATGGGCAAGGGTCTAAGGGTTTGAGGGTTTGAGGGTTTTGAGGGTTTTGAGGGTTTGAGGGTTTGAGGGTTTGAGGGTTTAAGGGTTTGAGGGTTTGAGGGTTTGAGGGTTCGAGGGCTTTGCCTGCTGAATGCTGCAAAGGCAACAATCCAGTCCAACGCCGAAGCCCTAAATCCCGAATCCTTCTTCAAGCAAGTTACAAAATACAAGGGTACTATTTCTCCAAACCCGGTTTTTAATGACTTATCTTCAGATCTACAACACGAAACCGGTGTCCAAACGGGCAACCGCAGACACCCCCCCGCCTGGTGCTGCGTGCGGCCGCGTCGGTGGCTGCTGGCGAGGAGCTGATGGACAGCCGCAGTCCCGGCTTCTCAGGATTTGTTTTTTGGGGTTTAGGGTTTAGGGTTTGGGGTTTAGGGTTTAGGGTTTAGGGTTTAGGGAGAACCAAAAAGTATTCCCTTATGGCCCCTTTTAGAATTACACGATAATAGTTTTATTAAGGCCCCTATATTTGGGTTGTCGGCTCCGGGGTGTAGGGTTCGGGGGTTATAGAAGTTTATGGAACCCTAACCCTTCAACCCGAAAGGTTTAGGGTTTAGATGGGTTTAGGGTTCGAACTGATGGCATGGGTCAGTTTAGGGAGGGAGGTTTAGGGTTTAGGGTTTGGCGTTTAAGGCTTAAAGTTTAAGGTTAGGGGCTTAGGACCTTTCAGTGTTTAGGGAAGTTCAGGGTTTAGGGAAGCTTCGGGTTTAGGACCTTTAGGGCTTAGGGAGGTTTAGTTGAGGGAAATAAGGAGGTATCCCTAGAAGGGACCCTAAACCCATTATTCCCTACTCAACGCCTATATCGCCCCGATATGTACCTTACATAGTCGCTATATACCTACGTAGCCCCTACATAAGTCACGCCTTCAGTCGATCCTCGACCCTGTGAGTTTTCAGCAGGTTTTGAGGGTTGTTGCGAACATGAGAAGGATTTCGGCCGTGCACAGTGCATGGGCAAAGCCTTGCACTTTCGTTAAAGTCGGATGGCCGAAATCGGGCTCGACTGGAACAACGTCACAAAAGCAAACCCTCGCACTTACTTTGCAAGCCCATGTGCCCATGGGGGAAGTCTATCGAAAGAACGAACTGGCTGTCAGAAGGAGCATGGACTCCCCTTTCAGTTTTTTCCGTGTGAAGCAGATGCTTGGGCCCCTCCCTTGAGCTGCTGCAAACCATGCTCAAGGCTTGGGATGTTCCCCCTTTTTCTAGCAGTCCTTAATAGGGATCATAACAGGGGGTACTTTTGTCCTATTAAGGACTGTTAGTATAAGGGGGGAACATCCCAACTCAAGGTAAGCATAAACCCTGAACTCATTTCCCTTCGATTTAGTGGGAGCCCTGCCATGCGAAGTTGCTTGGATCCTCTTTTGGATCCTGTGCCCATCTCCCTAAACCCTAAACCCTAAACCCTAAGCCCAAACCCGAAACCCTAAACCCTAAACCCTAAACCCTAAACCCTAAACCCTAAACCCTAAACCCTAAACCCTAAACCCTAAACCCATCTAGGTAGCGATCATGGGGAGTTCGCTCCAAAAACGTGATGACCAGGTTACTTCTTCCCCTTCGTGCCATTGACAGAAAGGCGCTCTCAAAGGTTGTCTTACTTAGTGTGGACCGTGATTCGGGCTTGGCTGTAGAGGTTTGGGGTTTTAGTGTTTGGGGCTTTAGGAAGGAGGTTCAGGGTTACGGGCAAGAGATGGCAAGTATCTGTTGAACATCCCCTACCTCAGCCTTGAACACCCTAAACCCTAACCCTAAACCCTAAGGCCTTTCTGAGCATGTGCCAACATCAGTGGCTCTCGGCACTCCCGAGACCAGCGCTGACAGCTCTTATTGCAATTGGGTTCTGGAGTCGCAAGTCTGCAGCAGGGAGCTGACGGGGAAGCCCCGAGGAAGGAGGACATCTTTCGCGCCATGCAACGTGGAACCCTTTCGCCTTTTCTAGGAGCATGTGCCCTTCTTCCCGAAACCCTAGCCCTAAGCCTCAAGTCCTAAACCCACCACCAGGAAGAGAAACCACGTGACTCAACCCCCCCCCCCCCCCCCTCGCATACGCGAGGCGGCGGCTGGTGACAGCCTTGGGCCCCGAGGCAGTTAGCTTCTGGGTTGGGCTGTAGTGACTAGGGTTCAAGGGTTCAAGGGTTCAAGGGATTTAGGGTTTAGGGTTTGGGGTTTAGGAAGAGAAGATCAGGGAATCGGAGAGATGCTCGCACAGAGCCTTTTGCAAAATGTAGTACGCAGGTTTGGGCGGTCCCAAAAGCGGTCCTGTTCCGCCCTTTCTAAAGCCGTGACCCCGAAATCTAAAACCCCCTAACAAAAAATTACCCTAAGGGTCATTTTTCAGGGCCAACCTAGCAAGTACCCGACCCCATACTGTGGAGTGCCCTGCGTGTCTCAATTGAGGGTTTGTGTTTAGGGTTTAGGGTGATCTTAACTTAGAGGAAGATTCCTCAAATCAAGGGTTCGGGGGTCTCTGGGAATTTGGTGTGGCAAGTAGGCTAAACCATACACCACAGCCTGGTACCTAAACACAATGTGGAGTGTACTGCAGTCGCGACCTAAAAACGAAACCCGAACCCGGAACCCGAAACCTAAACCCTAAATCCTAAACCTAAACCCTTAACCCTAAAAAAACCCTAAACCCTAAACCCTAAAAACAAAACCCTAAACCCTAAACCCTAAACCCTAAACCCTAAACCCTAAACCCTAAACCCTAAACCCTAAACCCTAAACCTTAAACCCTAAACCCTAAACCCTAAACCCTAAACCCTAAACCCTAAACCCTAAACCCTAAACCCTAAACCCTAAACCCTAAACCCTAAACCCTAAACCCTAAACCCTAATTGCTCATCAGCCCTGCTATGGGAGGCGTCCTTCCTTTGCCGCTGCCCACGCTGCCTTTCAGAAGCGAGCCAGTGCAATGAGGCCCAGAGGGCAGCGCTTTGCGTCCGTCACAGGGGGGTTTCCGAAAATAGGGGGGGTACCTTTTTGGTGATAGAACTACCCACATAGGGTTGCAGCTATCCATGAGCCTCCAAAGAGCCTGGGTTGGCCTCGGATTTGCAACTTCACGTAGTGCGATTTCTGGGCCCGGCGGTGTAACATTACAAGCAAGCGTGAGAATAACCGTGTAGCACCTTGGAATCACGAGAACAACGCAGGAGTCAGAAATGAGATGCGCTTCAGGAAACCAGGAGTCAAGAAACCGGTTTCGCGCGATTCAGGGAACCAACTTCTGCTGACCGAACCACGAAATAGAGACCAGTTTTGGGACCCAACCTCTGTTTTCAAGACCTTTGCTGGACTTCAATTACAAGCAACAGGCGCGTGACATCCAGGCAATTAGTGGTGGTCTCTTGGCCAAGTGCTCAGGGTATTTAGGGTTTAGGGTTAAGGGTTCAGGGTTTAGGGTTTAGGGTTTAGGGTTTAGGGTTTAGGGCAGTTGGGCCCATGGCCTCCAAAGCCACCATGGGGGTGGGATATGTCAGTGAAGGTCGTCAAACAGGTCTTGTGGACATGGAGGGCCCATATGGTAAGAATGGTGATGTTGCGGCGCGCTGGGTAGCTTAGATGTAGTGGGTGTTTGTTTCCGTAGAACCCTAAACCCTAAACCAAAAAACCCTAAACCCTAAACCCTAAACCCTAAACCCTAAACCCTAAACCCTAAACCCTAAACCCTAAACCCTGAACCCTAAACCCCTAAACCCTAAACTGCCTCCTTTGCCTGAAAAGGATGCCGAGCATGCTGCCTGGTTGAAGCTCAAGAGGCCCTTCCGAGTGGCCTTCCGTTTGGCTTTAGGGCTTTTAGGGCTTTCGGGGCTTGGTGCTCACCTGTTCAGGTTTAGGGTTTAGGGTTTAGGGTTTAGGGTTTAGGGTTTAGGGGTTTAGGGGTTTAGGGGTTTAGGGTTTAGGGTTTCGGGTTTAGGGTTTAAGGGTTTAAGGGGTTTAGGGGTTTAAGGGTTTAAGGGTGTAGGGTGTAGGGTTTAGGGGGTGCAGGGTTAAGGCAGATGGCTCCCAGGAGAGGAGGGGGAGGTTCAGACTTTCGGGCTCTTGGAGTTGAGCGTTCAGAGTTCAGAACTTGGAGATTGGGGTTCTGAACCTTCCCCCCCCCCCACCCCCCCTGAACCCTGTATCTCTGGGGATTCCGGAGACGAGGCTTGATGCTTCAAGGCTCCAGGGGCTTGCTGCTTGCACTTTTGCTTCAAGGGGTCGTGTTTGGCATCCTTTCTGGGCATGCACATCCCACACGGCACTGCGACGTAGCAGGTACGAGCTGATGACTGGGGGTTCGATGCACGGTGTCTTTGCGCTTGCGCCTGGGTCTTGGGCTTCGGGTTGAGTAGGAGGGGGCCAGCCCCCTCATCTCCGAGGCTGGTTTAAACAGCCCCCTAAGGCCCTAAACCCTAAACCCTAAACCCGAAACCCGAAACCCTAAACCCTAAACCCTAAACCCAAAAACCTAAACCCTAAACCCTAAACCCTAAACCCTAAACCCTAAACCCTAAACCCTAAACCCTAAACCCTAAACCAGCTTTCAATTGTCTTGAAGGCTGGTGGCAGAACTTGCTCTCCTTCGAGGCCCGCCGGGCACTGCGAAGCGGGGGTCAAAAGCCAACCAAACCCTAACACCCTAAAATCTTTTAGGGGGTTTAGGGTTTAGGGTTTAGGGTTCAAGCCCTAAACCCCTAAACCTTCAAGCCCAACCGAGAATGCTGAATCTCAAGCCTTGGGCCTGGTACTGTCTGCAGATGCTGGCCCACCCTTAGTTTCGGGATTCCTTTGCATGCTGGCGAGCCTGTTAGGTCCGAAACCTTGAACTGCAAACTCCGAATCCCCAAGCCCTGCACCCTAAAGTTGTGAGGTTTAGGGTTTAGGGTTTAGGGTTTAGGTTTTTGGGTTTCAGTCGAGATTTGGTTCTCCTTGGCTTGAGTTCCCGCCAGGAAAGCGAGCAGATCCGCATCCAGAGGCCCACCTGTTTCCAGGCGCACTGCGGTTGAGGGCCTTGAGGGTGTAGCTCAAGGAGCCTCAGCCCTAAACCCTAAACCCTAAACCCTAACCCTAAACCCTGAACCCTGAACCCTAAACCCTAAACCCTAAGCCCTAAACCCTAAACCCTAAGCCCTAAACCCTAAACCCTAAACCCTAAACCCTCAACCCCAACGGGTTCAGCTCGAGGGTTGGATTTCAGCACTTGGCACCCAAGCCCTGCGTGCTCGACTTGAGAGCAGAAGGGCCAGACCGCATGCTCCAACCCTTAATCCCAAAAAAAGTCCTGATCCTAAACCCTTGACAGCCCCAGGCTGTAAGGGACTCCTCAAGGATCCTCCCCTTCTATGCCCTAACCCTAAACCCTAAACCCTAAACCCTGAGCCCTGAGCCCTAAACCCTAAACCCTAAACCCTGAACCCTGAGCCCTGAACCCTAAACCCTAAACCCTAGACCCTGCACCCTACCCAGGCGTTGCGGATCCGTTGCTTCGGCAGCCGGCAGCCTTGCACCTCGTTTCGCAGCTCCAGGCGGCAGTGGATTGGGACTTTAGGGTTCAGAGTTTGGGGTTTAGGGTTTAGGGTTTGGGGTTTGGGGTTTAGGGTTTGGGGTTTAGGGTTTAGGGTTCCGGGTTTCAGGGTTTAGGGTTTAGGGTTCAGAGTTTACGGTTTATTGAAATTGTTCAGGGTTCAGGTCCGGGGAAAGTTTCGAGGAGCTTCGAGGAAATTTTCATGGAGTTTTTTGTCGGGGGGGTTTTCCTTAATAATTTCAAGTTGCAGGGGGCTTGAGGGTTTAGGGTTCAGGGTTTAGGGTTCAGAGTTTCGGCTTTAGGGTTTTAGGGGTCTCAGGGGTTTAGGGTTTTGGGGGTTTCAGGCTTGTAGGGGTTTCAGGGTTTTAGGGGTTTCAGGTTTTAGGGGTGGGGGGGCGGGGGGGGGGGGGGGGGGGGGGGGTTTAGGGTTTTACGAGTTTAGGCTTTTGGGCTGTTAGCGGTTTAGGGTTTTTGGTTTTCCGGTTTAGGGTTTATAGGTTGTGCGGCGCGCGGTTGAGGCTTCAGTCAGGCTTTGTGGAAGTTACTGCATCTCATCTCAAGGCGACAGTCCTTCACACAAGTATCCCCCTCACGGGGCCGAACGTCTTTATAGTTAATTTAACCGCTAACGCGAGGCCGCCTCGGCAAGGGTGCCGGGGGTGTAAGGGTAGACGGAGTTCACGGTCAGGGTGGTGGTAGGTAGAATAGGGGGGAGGGTGGAGGAGGGGGTGGGGGTAAAAGGGGCCTCGGCGGATTGGAGGGGGGATTGCGACCAGTCCCCATCGTAATCCTGTTGGATCCCTGACTTGGCCCTAAACCCGAAGCCCTAAACCCTAAACCCTAAACCCTAAACCCTAAACCCTAAACCCTAAACCCTAAACCCTAAACCCTAAACCCTAAACCCTAAACCCTAAACCCTAAACCCTAAACCCTAAACCCTCCCTCAGCCCGAAACCCTCTAAACCCTCAATTTAGCCGCCCTTTGGGCTTCTGGCAGGAGATCTTGAACGCTGATCGTGTGGCTCCCAGCTGATGACCCATTCTTGATCTAGGGTCCCCGCTTGGAGGTTAATGGGTAGCTATAAGTGGGTTACAAGTAAGGTAGCTATACTTCCATCTGTAACCTCACGCAGTGCACTTATACCCTGACCAAGAACCTTCAAGTACGCCCAACAGTTGGGCTTCGTAGGGTCCAGGGATTTAAGGGTTTAGGGCTTCATCTTTAGAGTTTCGTCCTTTTACAGGAGGCTTCTTAATTAGGCCTCACATCACTTTTACGGGCTTCGGGCTTCTTATGTTCGTCAGGGTTTCAGGGCGTGCGATGCCGAGCTGACCATCACCACCTTTGGGGATGTAGGCGTTTGACCCCCTTTGCTCGTCATCTTGTTTTAGGGTTCAGGTTAAGACCCCTAAGATGTTGCCAAAAGATGCCACCATGGGCGGTTTCAGAATAAAAGTGCACAGGACTTTGTGACTGCTGATGCTATGGGCATCTCTTCAAAAAGAGCAAACTCCCCAGATGCTCCCGAATCCGTTTCTCCGTTCCGTGTTCGCCGTTTCGTTTCTTTGCTCTGGTGTGGGAGCTACACCACGGGCATCAGCACGTTCATGGAGGAGCAAACCGGCCCCCCAGAAGTGGCCCCCGTGGTTAGTTTTGCTTCTCAAGCCCATGCTTTGCCATGGCTGAGAGAAAGTACAGTGCGTGATGCTTGGAACGCTGTCTCCGATTTTGTCGTCAACTGCGCGTCAGAGTTTGTGTGCCTCACGTGCATTGTGGGAAGTTTCTGTGTTTGCGGAGCCTGTGTTGCTTGCTTTGGTTGGCAGTTGCGTCCCTTCCGACGCAAGCAACCGTTCCGCAGTTCTCATCTACAGTGCCTGGTGACGGGCGTGGCCCCTTAGACGCGTCGGAGGTCTTTGCACTTTTGGACTCGGCCTTGCCTCCAACGGTTGCGGGATAGATTTCCTCACCTCGTCCGATGAGCCAGTTGTTGGAGTTGGCCTTTCTAGGAGCTTGCCCACGTCATCCCCGAAGTTCAAGTGAGAGTCGCGCCTGTTGTGCTTGTGCTGCCTCGGAGGGTGCAGCCGAAACACAGCTTTGGGGCCCTTCAAGAGTGGAGGAAGTTCAAGCGTTGCCGGAGGCTCTTGGTGAACCAAACCCTAAACCCTAAACCCTAAACCCTAAACCTTAAACCCTAAACCCTAAACCCTAAACCCTAAGCCCCCTGGACCGTGCTGCTCACCTCAGAGGCAGTCGAGGTAAATGGGGGGCTCCCAAATGGCTCACACCGGCCCATGGGTTCCTGCATATGAAGTAGGGTACATATTTCTGTTTTTGGTGAGTGTATATAAGGTTCCTTTTTAATATTGGTGAGTGTATGTACCTGGTGTCCTTTTGGGGTACAAGACATATAAACCCTACTTCATATGACCAAGATCTTCTTGCTACGCTCCAAACTTGGCGCTAGCTTCTTCCTGCCGACCTACAACACGGGTCTTCAAGCTAGCGAACTGTTTGGGAGGGACAGGGAAGGTCGCACAGGCGCAGGCCTCAGCGGAAGGATCCACTCTGCTGACCTTTTCCGGGCATGTTATGCCTCCGCTGAAACACTTCTTCGTAACAGTGGTGCGCGGGGAGTTTTTGTCTGAAAGAGCGTTGGGGCAAGTCCTCGAATTCACTAAAGCATGTGAAATCTTATTGATAACATTTTTATTCTTTTTGGTGGGTTTTTCTAGTTTCTGAACCTCTATTATTTGTATCCTTTTGGACATCTTTTCATTTATTTTCTTGTCCAACTTTAGAGATGTGGCCTGGAGAAGCTTACGTACTATCTTCCAGATCCTTGTGAACCAACATTGGCTAGTACACTTCTTTTATCCACTGCTGCTATCTTTACGAAATGCTTGCATTGGTTTAGAAGTTTCAGCACCACATATTCTTTTCTTTACTTGTGGTCATTCCATTCGCTCTTTTTATTAGTTTGCAAATTATCGATTTTCGTATTCCCGCATATTCAATTAATGATTCGCTATATAGTTGCTTGTTTCTTTCATCATTGCATGTCTTTCATTTAAGTCTTGGTGTTCCACTAGTTTTTCTTCTTTTCTTTCTTGTGCTCACGTATTCGCTTGCTCGTTTGTGTCGTTCACACGCCAATACGAGTATTGCATTCACTCTTCTAAGCTCCCCTTTATATACAAGCCCCATGAACTTTTAGCCCCCGATCCTCCCTAGAAAGTTAACTAAACTGGCCCCAAACCACCGTTTAGCTGTACATACCAAGTAGGGTTAGGAGAGCAGATTCGGATGACTGATTGTATTTTGGCTCAAGGAAAATAGGCGTGCCCGTTGTGCGTCTTTCCTTGTCTTAAGTACCTTTGTTGTACTTAACTGGTTAACAGCCTCAAGCTACGTGGTCACTTTGGTAGGAACGTAGGCAAAGCCGCGCGCCGCCATAGTGCCCCCTCCATAACCGCACACCTGCCTTGAGAGTGTGCTTGAAATTGCGCGACAGGAGCCGCTGGCCCTGCCTCATTCATACTTCACATCCAGCATTGTGTCGAGCCAGAGCCAGGCTCAGCAATTGCATTCATTTCACCTGCAAGCCACCGTTGGGCTTTCCACGTGGCATTCCATATCTCGAAATCTTCGATCGTGCATGCAAAGCACTGAGCCGGAAGAGCATTACGCAACACACCTCCACATTTGGGTTCATTTCATTAAGGCCTTGCGTGAGAAACGCATCACGCGTTTGTTGATTGCTCATCCGCTAAATTGGTGGAGAAGGTTCGTGAGTAATCTTCTTGCTAATCACTACAGAGAGGTATCGTTTGACTGGCAGCTTAGGGTCCTTGTCCGTGCTTTAACGTACGCCGACGATAGGTGGGTCCCTAGATTGCCTCAATACTTTCCGTGACATCCAGGTACATCGTGTGGCTGCGCATCTCCGCTGCAGTGTCGAGGTGCTCGCCCCTCTTGCCCTGGTTGGTTCTGACTTTCGGACTTCACTTCAAACATTCCTGAACATCTTGCCTTTGTACCCTCTCCTGTGAACCCGTGCACGGTTTAGGGAGGCTAGGCCTTGTGGGTACCCTAGGCGTCTGACGAAGCATCACTGCATCACCGTGTGCTTCGCCTCGAACTGCCCAAACAGCAGGTTCAGTTCAGACTTCGATCTTCGCGTGGTTTGTGGTCTCCCTTCGGGTTGAGACTAAGCCCATCACTCCGCCAACAGCAAACCCACAGTGCCGTCGGCTTGACCACGCACTGTGAACGCAACATCGGACAAAGTCCCAATCCCTAAGAGGTTTGAGGGTCAAAGCAAAGAGAGTCGCGGGTCTTCCCCACTCTCATCCGTGTGCATTGGCTCAGACAGCCGGTTGAGTGCGTGTCGTTAGTTGAAAGACCTGCATTGCCCCAATATCCCATCTGAGGAATCCCGGCAAGGTAGTCAAGCTCAGGCACTCTGCACACATTCTTCTGGCCACCTTCTAGGCTTGTTGGGGTCGCCGCCCGAATTAGGCTTAGAGGGGTCGCCGCCCGAATCAGGCTGTGCAATTGTCTCTGGTACCATGGGTTGGAACGATTTTTTGCAGGCGTGGGAACGCGTGACCTCTGAAGAGTCCTTTGTGGAGCGTGTGACTGCTGCTTTTTCCAGGGCCACGAACTCGCCTGCGGTCAAAGGCTCGTCTGAGTTCCGTCGGAGGAAAGCTGTCCTCTTGGTGGTCATCCGTGCGCTGGTGCAGCTTCTCATCGGTACTCAGCAGCAGTCTGGGGCCATACGGCTGGTCCGAACTCGAGAAAGAGAGCTCGAGGGCACGGAGGCATTGCCATATCATCCTTACGCTACGTTCGTCGAGGATACCCTGGAAGAGGTCAGAGGAGTGCTTCAGGCACCTTCGCCGGAGCCTGAGATACCGGCTCCGAGGACTCCTCCTGTCGCAGTGCGTTCCAGATCTCCGCCTCGTTCCTTGGTTGAGGGTTCTGACCAAACTCCGGTACCTCCTAGACCGCGACCGAAACATAAGGGTGATCGAACCCCTGCACCTCCTAGGGCACGACCTAAACATAAGGGTAATAGAACCCCGGTTCCTCCCAAGGCAAGTACCTTGCCCGGAACACCAGGTCCGTCACGTGCACCGGAGGCTGCAGCAGATCTTCTTGTGTATCGTCCCAAAGCAAAGGCCCGGCCCGAGTCCAGACCACCGCAGGACTGGGAGTTGGACGAAAGAGAGTATCCAACCATAGCGGATTCGTTCAGGGAACAGGTTGAATTGGGACAACACTCAGATAGAGAAGCCATAAACCGGTGGACTACTGAAGAGTGGAGAGAGCATAATCAGGCGCTCTCATCTTCTTCTTCTGCCGCGCCGCGTGTTGCACCTTTGGAAGTGGTCGAAGTGCGTGAGGACATCCCTGTCCTGATTTCATTGGATTTCAGCGGGGTGCTCAACATCCACTTTCAGGACAGCCGAGATTTTTTGGACCGTTTGAACGCAGAGCGTCCGAGCCACGTGAAGCTGAAGTTTATTTGCACGAGTTACTCTGGGACAGAACGGGCCAAAGAAACGCGTCAGTCGATGGCTTCGGAGCTTCCGGGCGTGCCAGTCTACATCACTAGCTCTCCAACGGGCCGTCCTGGAAAAGGAGCCTTCATTAAGCGTTTGATGGACCGGCGGTCGGATCACTTTGCGTGTCATTTGGATGACAGATCAGACATCGTGCGGGACGTCGAGGCGTATGGTGTTCACGGTATTTTGGTATCGCCGAATACGTGGCTGACTGATCTCGTGCCCACTGTGTTGTTGTGGCTGCGGTCCCTGTAAAACGCTAAAAGAGAGCTGCTGACCTTCAGGGGAACCTGGGGTTTCTATTGCCTGGCACCATGGCGATGAGTCCCGAAACTACTGATTCCTCGCTCCAGGTGTCCACTTCCAGCACGCCGCCTACACAACAGGCGCGGGCACTCAGTGCTGTAAGGGCACAAGAAGCAAGGGTAGGAGAGAGCAGTAGTGATTC